TTACGTCGATACTAAATAATCGTTATTAATGAATGTGTTATTTAATGGGAGGCTGATGATTTAATACATTCATCTCTATATAAAAAAAAAATAATTCCGATAATCTGACCTTGCGATAATCCGAAACACGTCCGGCAATTGTCTGGCTCGCGTTTATTTTATAATGATCGATTTATCGTATATGCCAATGCTTTGAGCTTGACGTATAAAACAGAAATTTCGTCAGTAGACCAATACTTGGACCGTCAAACAATCTTCAGTAGTAAATATTACCCTTCGCAACAAATTAAAGTAAAAAAGTTATACAGTTCATAAGAAAAATATATATTTTTAATAAAAGCAAAATAAAAATAATAAATTAATCAGGTATGTCCCACACTATTTCGTGGAAAAACCCGACACAAAAATATAATTTGAGTAAAAAAAAAACAATTAAAAATAACGCATATGTTTCCGTAGTTAGAATGGTCCTACCCGAAGACTATTTATTTTCCAATCCTTTCTTTTGTAAAAATTTGCTTGACCTAACTAAACATAATTACCGTTTACTTACTATTTTTTTTGAATCAACTGTTTTCTTATATCAACATTCTTCTTTTCCATTACGAAATTAATATACAGACATTTTTCGATGAGTTTTGATATTTCATGACGAAGCAGCTTACGGGCATCCTCAAGACACAATGCCTTTTATATATACTTTAATAATATTTAATTATGATTTTTTCAATTATTTAAACATGTACCACATGTAACCATGTTTGGGTAGTAAACAAATTATGTAATTTTTTTTTTTTCAAATAAATCCAATTTTACGCTTTCCAATAACTAGACTGTTCTTCGATCCCTGAAAATGACCGAAAAATCAAGGAATGTATATTATACATGCACTGCGTTGGAAAAATACACATATATTCGATATAATACGTCTAAGCAAGAGGTATAAAATAATTTTGATAATATAAAATTCTAATAGAAAAAAAGTAGCGAAAGGTTTCTATTACACGTCTGTACATTTAATATTTCAAATTATCATTATTCTTAATTTGTTGTTAACATTTTAAAAACAAAAAAACTTTTTTAAAAAACTTATTGGACTCCTTGTCGAACGCCTACCGCGGTAAAATATTACGTTTTGTTTTTAAATTATTTTTTCGGAGGTGTGTTATGATTGCTGTGATTCATTATGTTAAGATTATTTTAAATTCTATAAATCATCTTATATATACATAATATTATACAATAATTTATTTTTTTTACGGTGTCCATGATGAACTAGAACAAAAAGGTACAATAATTTATAAAACCTGGGAAAAGCGCAACAACACGTTATTACATATTCTTGCGATTGTTTACAAACCACGTAAACGGTCATACCATCGATGAATCTTGCAAGTGTTAGCTGTCAAGTGTATACCTGGACATTACACTCCTCGTATGGTATGTACGTGAGGGTATGTTTAGACTATAAAGTGTTTTTAACGTTCATATATAATCGTAGACCATCGATCATATATTCATAGATGTGCGCACGGATGATAGTTGTAGCCTATAGGTGTGGAATTTTTTATATCTGATCGATTACGTTATGCTTTTAAAGGTCGGTCGGATTTATAGTCGCCTCGGTAAAGTCAGTAATTCCTGGTTGTTAACGGGGTTAAATTTTTAATTAAAACCATAAATAAATTTGGCATTTATCAATACGTATCAGTGTTTCAAGTCGTAATAAACGTTTGAATGCCATTGTAATGATCAGTTTATCAATTAATGTACAAAAACAATAAACACGTACATAAACATGTATAATATACAAAAAACTGCACTCAAATCTATAATTTCTGTATAAATTATAGATTTGATGGTAGTTTTTTAAGTAGTAATGTGGCCGGTAAAAGTGTCACAACTATGATGGTTACGCGAAATTGTATAGTTTCCCACCATATTCAAAAATTGTAGGAATAAAAAATGTGGAATGGCAAAATTTATAAAAAAAAAAAAAAAAAGAGTAAAACCTTACCTCTCTCTCACAACCATTTCCTCACGCAGAAGTTGTGAACGTAAAAACGGAATGTACTCGTGGATCGGGAAAAAACACGTTCTGTTTTCAGTTTTTCGGGACAGTGGGAAGATGATCCAAAACAGGCTAGTGTTATTTTAAACGAATTGTATAATGAGGTCTCCTTAAACTAGTTAGAATATTCAATCGCCGCATCGAGCATGAACAGCCGTCTAAAAATCGCTTCGGAATTTCCTCTATTCCGCCATCGAGTGAGTCCAATGCCCAGTATTTAGTTAGCAACAGTAGCTAGTGTCTACACGTATACACACATATGAACGTATTTCAATATCAATATATCATCCGAAACGCATTCGAAACTATTTCACGGATACAACGTTATATCGAATCATTTTTTTTTTTTTTATTGATACTATTATTCGCCGTCGTCTGCCTCGCAATGCGTTGCAACAGCCGTGAAACCGTAACGACGCGCGTCCGTTTTTTCATTTTCCGTTTCCGTCTATATGCTATACTATTTATGGCCGATGAGTAGGTACCACACGTGTATCATTATCCGTCGTCTAAGCGCAGTGTTGCACGCATAATTGACTACGCCCATTCGATACACACGACGACGACATCGTACATTATAATAATAATGTATACGAAACGCATTACTCGAAACACATGCGTGTAATATAACAATATCTGAGTATGCTTCCGATCCGAGGATAATCGTAACGACTCGTTCCGTTGCAGTGTTAATGATTGACGACGATGTTTAAATGTGATGGTCAAAACCACGGGTACGTGATAAAATGCATAGCCGGATCGATGTATGGAAAACGCGCACGTTTTCACGTCGTACTCAAATTCAGCGATTTTACCTAGTTTATTATTCAAACATTACGTCGATAAGATAACTTTTACTCATATATAATCATTATATCAAGTTAATACCATCAAGTATCACTTCTCAGTACATTCATCTGTAACTGAACGGTGAAAAACTTATGGATATTTTCAACTATCACATATGGTCATAGGCGTGCCTGGGCACTACCCGAAAATTTTATTCTATAATCACTATAGCCAAAACATAAATATGCGATAAGTATAGGTATACCGTTAGTAAATAATACATTTATATTGTTATTATATTTTTTCTCTGTCCATTTGATCATTTTTTAAAAGTTCTACTATATAAGAAATTCATCTAAAAAACGGTTGCGTACAATTTTCTTAGAGTGTACGATATTTAATTAATTGATATAATTATGAAAACTAACTTGAAGAGAATGTATAGAATTAATTATTATTTCTTATTATCTAGTAATGAAAGCTAATTGAAATTGATCGGGAAGGCGATTACGCCCGCATATACACCTATTTAGTAAATTTTTCTCGAGCACGCCCCGCCCGAACTTAATGTTTGCAGACTCCTATATGGGTATAGAAATCGAGTTTTACTCTAAATAAAATCGGCCAACAGGACCACTCGATTCGGCGCGGATCACTGCACGCGCGATTTGCATGCGGCACCTCTATGATGGTGGAATGTTACCATAAACCTTCCGACGCGTGTTCAAGTCGATATAGTTTGAAGTTGAGATAATATTACGCACGTCTAGAACATTATAATCATTTACACTTGACAAGCCGAACGGGGGTCTAAGACGGAATGCGTGTTGTTCTCTTATCCCGTGCGATCCTGTCTTCGGCGCTATCACGGTTCCGCTATAGTTAATCAATGCAAATTGATATAAAGCGTCTTGCAAGTGTAAAATGCAAGACATCTGGACGTGTGACCGTTGTCGTGGATAAAAAATTAGTGAGGCAAAAATAATACCTGCTATTGTAGAAAAATAATGATAAACCGGTTCAATCATATGTATAATCAATTTATTCTTTCAACGTATGAACGCGTACAATACAATAAACAAATTTCCATGTGTGATGGAAAACAACGCATGAGCATTAACAAAACGAGCAATATGTATTTATAAATTAATGTATGCTTGAAACAGTGTATTTTCAAATTTTTTATGGGAGGTGTGGGTTTAAAATTATCTTAAAAAATTAATTTCTTCATAATATTATAAAAATTACATATAAGGTATGAATTAATAATTATATTATTCTATTATTTTTATTAAAAATAAAAATTAAAAGTTGTATGCAATTACATGATATAAGTTAATGTTCTCTTTGTTTCTACCTTCGTAACAAGATTTTATGAATTTTAAACCTTATTTTCTTCTGGGAGTCAAATTGCCCCCTCTCCCCAAAAAAATACACCACTATATGTATATATAACAACAACTCGGACATATTAAATATTTGGTTAATCAGAATTAATTATAATAATATATTATATATGTACACCATAAAAGTATTGTACCTATATTAATAATATAATGCGTATGTATATTGTACAATATATGAATGTGTAATATAGTAATTATTTATGTAATTATATAGGCGGGCGTGGCATGAGTTGTCGAAGCTATATAAACTAAAACATTTGAACAAAAAAAAAAAAAAATAAATAAATAAATAAATAAAAATAAAGCTAGAATGATACATTAGATATTCATTGTCGGAGACGGAAAAAAAACACAAACAACAGTGAAATAACTAACAACAATAATATTAAATGTTCAACAAATTGTACAGCGAATTCTCAATAATACGAAAGGAATTAAATGTCTATTGAGATATTGCCATAGCTCGATAAACACAATAATTCATTAAATTGGAAACTCGAAATAGGAATTCTTTGTTGTTTTTAAAAATTGAACAAAAACTAGAATATCCATTGTATAATATTACATGTGGACAGTAAATTAACGATTACGATTAATGTTCGAGAAATGCAAATACGAACAGTATATATTACATTTTTGTGTATATATAATATTCTGGACGACGATGATGACAACAGTAATAACAATAATAACAATAGCAACAACAACAACTACTATAAAAACATTATAATACATCATATATTTCAATACATCTTACAATAATAATGGCACTATAATTTTTTTTACGTACACGTAAAATAATGTAAAGTCGGACGCAGCGAACGTTTTGCAATACAATCGAACGGAAATGTAATAATAATATGTTGTGACGGACAACCGTAAACTTTCGACGACCCTAAAATATTAATATTAATAATAATAATAATAATAATAATAATAATAATAATAATAATAACAACAACAATAATGTAAACACCAGTTGATATGTATTATACTTGCTACATGTGTTGCATGATAATAACATGGTGCATTCGACCGTTCGATCGCGTGGTTACAAAGGTGCACAAGGTGATCGAGACCCGACAATCGAAGCCGACGGACTGATCGAGCATTGCAAGTCGGGGCCCGGTACTGTCTCGCTACGACATTATTATCTAAGTACGTAAATATAGTAACCGGTCGTGTACGGTTTTGTGCGACGGACGAGCGCGCGCACCGTCATCAAGCCCGGATTCAGACCTTCAGGGGTCCCCATCAATGATAACCGTCCTTTAAAATCATATAAATATATAACACAACGACATAAAACAAATCACACAAACATTGCCATGTGGCCTCACTCACCATGTCCATAGTGGTAAACATGGTAGGCGGGTGACAGTCCCCAACGCCCGTTAGTTTGAAAAAATAAATAAATAAAATATTCTTGTAGATACTATAAAAAGTACAAATTATCACTCAATATAATTATTAAGCAGAGAAAACTATCAGCCCTATACATACGTGAGCCCTGAGGATATGGTATCCTGCCCCTCCCTCTTTTAATCCAGACTTGACCGTCATACGTCGTAGTTGCGTGTCCACTTGAAATCGTAATGGAATAAACGAAATACATTTAGAGTTGTGATCGCAAGTCGGAGTGTTATAATGCGTAATGTAAAATATGATTCCGCGACACAAATTCGGGAATCACGAGAAAAAGAATAACGTATAATGCGAAATAAAAACTTAACGTGCACGCGATGTACACGTCAAATACAAACTTAAATATGTTATATATATATACGTGCTCGAGATGTTTCAGGGATTTTTACGGCGATCAATCGAAAACCTATTCGGTCAATTTGCAACATCTGTTGTGTGGTGCTCATCACGTGTAATCCGGACTCGTATGATTTCAATTTTTTGTTGCAAAACGTTGAACGTACACCTTCACGAGATCCCTTTGAATCCCCCTCCTATCATTGATCCCGGCACATAGACTCGATTTGATATCACGCCACACCATTTTCGGGGAGTTTCGGATGCGTTATGTTGCACCATCATTTAACCGTATTCCAATAGTTAATAATGCTGGGTCCGCCGAACCTGACGTCTGAAAATCTCGATCGACTCCCACGACGTGGCAAATCTCGTGGCGTGTTTGTAGTAACAGTAATTTATTTACATAAACATATATATGTGTGCGTATGTATCTGTGTGAATACACAGGACGACTACTAAATGTGAATTATGTATATACATTTGCCAATTATTACTATGCAACGAAAGGATCGCCGTTGCGATTGTACTCGAGTCTGAAACTTATTGTTAAATATTGATAAGGTTAGGTACCTTAAGGTTCTGTACATGGTACCACTACGCTTTAGGATCTACACCGAAACGATCGCGTTAAAGGCAGCTTAAAAATAAAAATTAAAACAGCGACCAACAAAAGCCGTGTCCGCGGATCTGGTCGCAAACGCGATCAAAAAGCAATATCGTCGTCATGGCTGCAGTGATCGCGGCGATCGGTTGGAAAGCACATTGCGTCAGTGGGACCGTCGCGAAACTCACGTACGGGCGCGCACAAAAACGTAATAATACATACGCGGCTATTTACACTATTTGCAGTGGCGCGCGGTTGCACTTCCGGTCACTCGGGTGCTCACCGGCACACCAAGCTCTCGTTGTCGGCCGCGCACTGCCCGTCCGGCGGTGACATAAACACTTTGCCGTTGCCGCACACGCACAGCTGGTACACGCTGGGCAACTTGTCCTCGACGCCCCTTTTCTTCCCGATGCCCGGCCCTCTGGCTGTCTGCGGGTCCAATTGACCGCCCAGCTTGTCGTCCCCCGGGACACCGCTAGACGCCGAGGAAGAGACCGTGTTGGCGGACGTCTTGACCGTCTTAAGGCCCTTGAAGAACACCTTCGCCGCGTCGATCTGTATCTGTATACGTACGGTGAACCGACCGGATAAAGGAAATGTACCAATTAACACGTGGGCAGGTGGATAATTATAATAATAAAAAATTTTACATCGTAATTCATATAGGACAGAGAGTGAGAGAGAGAGAGAGAGAGAGAGAGAGAGAGAGAGAGTGAAAGGGATGAGAAAAAATATTTTTAAGTTTTTTAAAATCAAATAACGAACCAATAAAGTTACAGTTATGAGTGAAGTGGTATGGCAATCGTCAACAGATTAACCTCGAAAAATATTGGTACTCTGTCATAGGCATAATAAGGGGGGGCTGGAGGGTCTAAGTCTCTCAAAAACATTCAAAGCTACCCCAAAAACCATGCAGAACTTTAAATTATTATATCGATAAATAAAAAGAAATATGTGATTACTACTGAAAAAATTGAAATGTTATTTTTATTTTTAAGTTTTATTTGCCTCCCAATAAGCACATTTTTTTTATAGAGGGTGAAAGGTAGGAAAAAGTTTCTGAGAGGCAATGATTGAAAAATATACGGGGGGGGGGGGCTGAACTCCACAATCTTTTTACTTTAATCGTGCTTATGTACTCCGTTCATCTTAACTTTAAATAAAGCTAGATAGATCGATAGATTAAGATAGAGCTTAAACGACTTACGTTTTGGTTCGATATTTGAGATAATTAAAAAAAACCTTTCCCTTTGTCCATTTTTATTTTATTAATTCATATTTTGAGATATTAACTTTTCAAACTATTTTGTGTAGACGATCACTTCCACAACACTCAATTGTTTTGTTTAACAATAAAATACAATCACATTATCCAAAAACTAATCATTGTTGAAGTGGGTTATGGGACTTGATATTGATTTTTAAAAGAGTAAAAATTAATAATACAATTATAAAAAATAAAATAAAATTAGTAAATGGTTAATACTTATAAATTAATATCGCTATATATAAATAAATAAATACATTTTACATTATATTACTGGCTATCCTAGGTTCAGTTTGGTAAAGATATAAGAAAAATATAATTTTTATATTTATTATATTTGTATACTGTATTATTATTAAAGTCATGATTTTATTGACTTTGTATATACCTGATGATGAATTTTTAATTTGAAACCGGTTAGGTTACAAAATACAATTACAAATATAACAATAATTCAAGATAGGCATTTATTTATTTATATACCTATTTAATTCTATAGATAAATTATTTATTTATATATTAAAAATTAATATCATATTTAGTAATTACTTCGAATAAAATCGAAAACTCATTATTATTATTGAAAAAATTAACATGAATTGTTATAGAAAGTTATCTTATATTTAATAATAAATATAAAAATTCAATGAATATGAATTCTTACCGCTCCAGCTATTGATTGCAGTTTGACGTCCATCAGACACGACACGCTTATGTCACCGGCTCTCGACTCGATAGTTACTCCCTGGGGACCACTGAGCTCCAGCCTCCGGGAAGCTGACTCCAACCTACACACGAGTGATCATAACACAGGTTACATATATATTTAACAGTTTACTGTTTTAATAATTCATAGACACACAACCAATACGTTGCCACTAATTGTTTATATCGATGGTTATGTATTAAACAGTTTGCAGCTGTTACAATCTCGAAATACAAAAACAACGAATGACATAATATTTTTGGATCTAAAGTTTAGATGAACATGAAAAGGTTTTATAAAGTTTCAATGAACATTGATCAAAGCCGTTATGAAATATATTATAAGATTACTGTTTCTACGGTCTTTGGTTGTATTTATATTACATTTATCATTGTTATTTTGTTAAAATTGTAACATAGTTTGGTTTCATCGCATTTGCAACACAAAAAAATGGCTCAATGTTCTACAACCTAGTTTGTCATATACCTATATTTGTTTTAAATCAAAATACTTCTAACGAATGTTTACTATTAAAATGTGTAAACAAAATTGTAGATCATTTGATAACTACAAACATAGTAATTATATTATAATTATTATCGTTTTTGCTTTCGATAAATTAATATAGTAAAAGTAATTTGATAAAAATTGTAATTATAAAATTAGCCAATATTAGCTAAACATTTTTAGGGATTAAGACTCAGTCTATATTATTCGGCATACTATGAACGTTTTGTTAAGAAAAACATATTAAAAAATAATTCAACCAATTGCAACAAACATCAGAAATATTGTTACTGTCAGTATACCCTTTCTATAATAATTAAGTAAATAGCAATATAATCGATTTTCAACTAGTTTAAAAATATTCAATATGAGATGTTGTTCACTCACCTTAAATCGTGACGGGAATCGGCTCGAACCATTGGTGTTTGAACACTACCTTGGAATACAGCACCACCAGAACCTGCATCCACGTACACACACAAATAATTAGAAACGAATTCCAACACGATGTTAGACAGTAACATTTATTAATTACTTTTCGATTAAATAAATCATTTTCAAATATTAATACTACATAAACATGTGTTTGTTACCAGTAACCCGGAGCTCTTGGGCACCTACGATCACCTTGCTCCGGTCTGCCGAGAACAGAATCTCGCCACGAGTGTCCGTGACTCGGAACACGCTCGCTTGTGCGCACTCCAATCCGTCTTTCGCTGAAACAACGAAACACCGATAATATTACACAATGTGCGTCAAAACCGCGAACGCGACAAAAACGTCTAGTGTACGACCAAGAAGAACCGCGTAACAGTAAACGTATGACGTACCGAACGTTTGATACATTCAGTTGATTAATAATATTATTACTGCACAATACGATTGAGATTTTGATGCGTTTGCTTTTTTTTTTTTCGATGAATTAGGTGAAAACCGTTTTCCAAAAATGTTGTCATTCTATGAGGTGTGAGGAAAATATTAAAAAAAAAAAAAAACAAACTACTCACTTAGCTTGAGACTGTTCACCAGACGACCCTGCGTGTTGCGGGCGTTCAGCGTGATGTTCGCGGCGGATTCGATGAGCAACGGACGACCAGCTCGAGAACGTATGGCCGTCGCCACCAGCCGGTCGGTGACCAGCGTGCGGCCGGACAGCCGAAGTCCACCGTGCGTGATTTTCATCGAACCCATTCCTTCCTGCATGACACGAGACGATTCAATGACACCATTGTACGTATAAAATAAAGCGAGTACATTGTTTCGATGTAGATAGTACATATTTTTATAATCATAGAAACATAATAAATCGTAGTGCCGTGACATTTATCGAGACTCGAGGATTTGATTCGGAAACCAAGAAAAAAAGCGTTCTTGTCGAATACGCTAAACGTATCATTATTCCCGTTTGTTAATCGCGAACGAGTGGAACTGGTGGTACTGTTTACCATTTGCGAAATAATTTATGAAAAATATAAGCAATACGGATTTTTGCGTCTAAATATCATACCAAGGGTATATTAATTATTTAAAAAATGAACACGTTGATCTACTCGTATTCTCCTCGATAATGACTAATACTTGTTAAAAATGTCATCTCGGGTAAGAAACAAACATTTCAAAATACGACAAATGTAGAAAACTTAATGTGTTTAGAAGTAAAATTTTAGTCGAATACAATAATCAGTAATATCTCGAGGTAATTAATTGCAGTCTTATATTAATCTGTGTTGATCAATCATTTCAGCATCATCGCGGTCAACAGTAGTAACAGTCGTCGGTTAAGTGAACAGTTCGGATTGTAGCTAGGTACGAACAAAACTGTCGAGCTTTGTTTCGAAAATATTTTTTTTTTTTAAGATTGTTTGAATAAATCCAGTTAAGACGAAAACATTTTTTTTGCCCACTTTCTATATGTGTCTATAAATTAAGTACAGCATCCTGATTTAATGCTGTATTATATTTATGCGTCTACAGGACGACGACGCACATGTTGCGTGGCTATTTATAAAATATTTGTTCGCACTTGGTATGTGTTATATGTCTACCTTAAGGGAGTGGGTCAAGTAAAGCGCAAGACGAAAAACGTTTCCGAACAGCAATATGGAGTGGGCACACGCGTGCATACTGATTATAATAATATCACGACGAGCTCGTTCTCTTCGCAAGTCTCGACGAGCGTAACGAATTCTTCCATCCGAGAATTTTCCTTTTTATACTCCTTATTATTACTATTATTATTTTCAATCTACACGATACGATGATACAGCTCCTGCCCGTCCTCGGCTGGTTTATTTTTGAAATATCGCCTCTATTCTTAGCGCGTACACATATACTATTACTATTATATCATAAATCACGTTCACTATTCCTTCACACGTCTCCTCCTCTCACTTTCATCCTCGATCTCTACGAAGACTTTATAAAAATTCTTCACTAACCGTTTACACGGTTACGATTCGTCCTCTCGCTCTTACGGCGCGAATATACGGATAAAACGGCTTAATACATCTAAATCTTTCAAACGTCACACCATTATCATTCACAACTAGTGATCACATACTTCGCTCGAGTTTGGAATGTCTATCAGTGGAGTCATTGGAGGGGGAGTGCTTTGTTCGAGTGCCGAGTCGGCAATTTAATAAGCGCATGCCGACTGCTCTACTCTAGAAAAAACGGAAAATACATCACTGATGTCTATGACGAAATCGATATCATTGCACGCTATCGATTAAGATTAATCCGAATTTAAAACCTAATGTAATCATGCATGACGTCACACATCACCAATAACCATTACACCGTAGAGTTCTACCAATACTTAGGCATGCAGTTAATTTATATGCGAAATGTTGACTCCTCACCTTTTAGCATTTTTTAATAAATGTTTAAGATATTTATTCATTAAAAAATTGTATTATTTAAAAATCAGTTAAGTTAACTTCTACCGAAGAAATTTCACTCAAAAAATTAGTTGTTTTATTATTAAATGTTATGCTGTGAAATGTGATTCACTGCTTCAAAATAAGAACGTGCAAGTTTCAATGAATCATATATTATATCATAGTGCGCTTCCTTGTACGAAATCCTTTAAATGTTAAAATATCAATAAATCATAACAATTACGCTTGGGTAAAATATTCGCCATTACCTTCAAAACAGTACATATAAATATATTTATATATAATGTAGTAAAAATGTATTGGATTTTATGTATTTAACTATTATTGTATGCGCGTTCAAACGCATCGGAATACCATTGAACATGCAATGTTTCAACCGCAACAATATGTTAGAGTTATTATATATTAATTATGAGTCCGTTAAGTTCCCAACCAGTAACCGCATACCACAGTAGTAGTGCATATTAACATATAGTAATTCATTTAGTATTTCATATTATCCATTGTGATGCTGTAATTGAATATTGCCACTTTTCGCAGACATTTCATACCAAAGTACCTAATATATTGTTATGATGTATTTTATTTTTGTAATTAATCATTAATTTATGCAATTTGATTTTTGTATTCATTCATAAAAATGTCGCCGTAATATAATTATATTTATTTTTTAATTGCCTAATCGATTTCTTTTTACGCAATTATAATTATTCCTTAATCCTATGATTATTTTAATTATTTTTTAATAAGAATGGAATTCTTTATAATATTAAAATGTTAAATCATTCTTTATTTACATATTTAATTTAAATGATCATTTTAAATTGTTTGAGATTCGCCGTAATAAATGTACTAGTCAATACTTGTATTACATTTATTGAGAATGTTATAAAACTTTAATTTATTTCGCAGTTTGATTAAAATTTTTTTTAGCGATATTAAGAACTTGAAGTAAATATTAGAAAATTAAAATGCGTGACCATATTAAAATATTAAAAAATAATATAAATATTATAACGTATTCATACAAGTGATTTATTTATAGACGTATACAGTATTATGGATTTGAATGTTTACACGTGAATACTTATACTTACACGTGAAAAAAAGGAGCTCCTACCTACGACGTGTTGTATATCCTTACGCAATTATCATTTAATTTTAACAAATGGGTCGCTTAAAAACAATATATTTATTTGTATAATATACATATAACTATATTGTTATATACATTGTATATAGTAAATACGCATTACAAAGTCGGATCTTCGAAACGCTTCACGATCTTGTCGTTACCTTATCCCGACCTAAGGCTAATTTTCAATTTCTCATTAACCGTGAAACGTCTGAAATAACCGCATTTACCGCATCATCGGTGTATATACCTAGCCTACTATTCTTGCTCGTCGTCCGTCACTGTAAGAGACGGCCGTAATCGCAGAAAATTTTACACAATATAATGAATTTGAATGTATTCCGTGTTTATTTTTTTTAATTAAAAAATAAACGCTCGAGGTACAATGGCGTAAAATAAAGTATGTATAATAAAATAGACTTGGCGAGAGGGTTGGTTGGAGTGGTGGTGGTGACGACCTTTTGATTACTATACCACGCGCACCGCGCCCAGCACCCATCCACCACTTCGTGAAAATCGTAATATTTTAATTCGTAGACCAAAAGCGTCTTTGTTCCAACATCAGCGGCTTAATGTTTTAAGAAAAACTTCAACGGACTATATGACTGCGACCAAGTTGTCTTATATCCACGCCTGGTTTTAAACATGCGTTATGTAGTGTTATTATGTATATAGTTTATTCATTGATTCCCTGTTATGATTAACTCATATTTATATGCCTATCCGTAATACTCGCTCTGAAACCTTTTGACTTTGTATTAATAAAAAACAAAAAATTAAAAACCGTAGAAATTAGATTTTAAAATGCATTTAAAGAATTTTCATGTGCTATTTAATGGGTAAGAATGCTATACGTGTACACGAGTACATTTTTTTATTTGAAATTATACAATTTCCATTTGGCACTCATGTTTGATTAAATAATACGAAAAAAAAAACACATGATTGACGTTTTTAATAAAGCTATGTACGCAAGTGATTTAAAATATAATTCCTGGTTCCACCTCAGATTTCAATGAAAACCACTGTAGTATTTATTTTCAATTATTTATTTCAATTCAAACGGAAATTATCGAATTTATACTAATTAGCATACTGAGAAAAAAATACTATATAATAAATATATTAGGTGTACCAACTCCTATAATATGACGGGGTTAAATTAAAATCATAAACAAACGGGTAAGAATGAAATATGGTTAAACAATATTATACAATCGTACACCCGCGGTATGGTCCAATCGAACATAAACCACTGATCTGTTCATTGACGATTAGGTCTCAATATTTCAAGAAAGGAAAGCTATATAGGTGGAAATCAGGAAATTACCAGGCATGTAACCTCATAATATTATATTGACAAAGACGATGGCCAAAATGAATAAAACGAGAAATACTTCTCGATATGATATTTCATACTCTTTTCCCGTTTTACGCGAAAACTTTCAGTTCGATTATAATAAACACCTCATTATAATTATTTTAGCCGTACCTACGTCTGTGTACGATTAACGATTTTATTATATCATTTGATTTTGGCGTATTTTCACATACAAAAATAGAATTTTTGTACAGTCATTTTCTGATAACTGTTCACAATAAAGTTTCATAGAAGTTTTTAAAAAAAAACATCGATATTAATAATTGATTATTGAAATCAGCTATTGTTATTTTTAGGTTTAACGATAAAAAGTGTTTGTAATTAAAACATAAATACAACGATATTTTTTTTCTTTTTAAAACCGTTTGTAATTGCGCTCGGAGAACAAAGTATTCTCGTTCCTGGACCCTGTTAACTCGCAGACAGGACGCGATTTTTAAATATTATAATAACCGTGTACCGTAGATCATATGGATAGAAAAGAAAACTATAAGCTCGGGTTAAAAAGTATCGTGTCCCTTCAAGTGTAATGTGTAAGGGTGTAGTAATTCAAAAGTAAATAATTACCGATGTAAACTGAGTGACTCGAATGAACCACAGTGTCAGCGTGAGGTTGACGACGACGACGGCTAGCAGACAAGCGAGAAAAACATAAATGGCCCGTGTCTTCCATTTGGACTGCGACTTCTTTCGGCCGCCGTTGGCCGCGTTTTCGGCGGCCGTCGATACGATCGCGGACTTGCCGGCGTAACCAACGCTGGAACCGGTCGAGACCGTGACGCTGGACTTTTGGGGGAAATCGTTGGCCCGCAGCCTTTGCTGCTGTTGCTGAGGTAGTAGGAATTGTGTATGCTGCTGTTGCAGGGTCGGAGTGTCCTCCGCGACCGACGAATCGTACTCGACAATGTCCGCGGACGAGGTCGGCCACTGGTGATGACTGCCGCCGTCGCCATTGCCACCGGTTCGCACGCCGACAGAACCCGCACCGTGTCCGTCGCTGTAGTTACCGTTACCGTAGTTGAAGTCTTCCATCATAGAGACTCCTGTTCTCCTAAAAGAAATGCATACGACAGGATGTAATAAAAAATAAATTATTATTATTAGATTGCACGGACGGTGTGGCGACGACCGATTAGTCGGTTACAGATGACCGTTATGTCCGAAAGAGCACGGATAATATCTCTTTTAATGAACATGGTTTCTTTAAAAAAATTATAAACTAAAAGAGCACTCTGATAAGCAATCACTCCAGAGTTCTGACAGTGGCGTATACTAGAGGGGGATTTGGGGTGTCAGATCCCCCCTACGCCTTTTTCAAATATTATAAAATAATGTTCTTAGTGTGAGGGCGTTAGAAAGGTAAAAAAAAAAAAAATTAATAATAATGATTTGTTTGCAAATGATAACCCCCCCCCCCAAAGAAAAGTTATGGATACGCCACTGAGTTCTGAATAGTATTAATTCATTTGATTACATCTTTATGACATTATTTCATACTGGTTTACGAACAACTCATTTGTACATTATTTTCGTTTTCAACTGTTCGTTCATTCATATCATATTATCATGTACGCGCATAATAATGTCTAATTAATATTTTTAGTGATAGCGAATGCGGTTACCTTCACACGGGATACCAAGACGATAGACGATACAATGCGAATGGGGTTTTTTTTTTTTCTAAATAGTTTCACTGTAAAAATGCGTACGTTCGTATCGTGTTACGAGATAAGAGTATGTGTGTTATCGAGATAAGTATTCGATCATCGTCGTCATCGTCATTGAATCGAAAGAATTAAAATACACAAACTCACATAAGTGTCTACACAAATAAAAGAGTAAAGCGGGCGGCGATTCGGTGCGGTGTACGTCATGTTATTATTACATACACGTGTACTATGGATGCCAGCGAATACCTAAAGGCTGCAGCGATCAATCATTATTGGCGGAGGTCGTTTGCCGGTGTATGTGGTCCATGAATTTCGGACCAGTATCGGACTCGAGAAAATCGCCGGCAAGTCCGTACCTGCTGCTGCTCACATATTATACGTTTTATTGTATACACTATTCGGGGTTGAAGACGGTGGAGGTATTATATAGCGGGTTTTTTTTTTTTTTTTAGTGCAGCTCGATCAGGAGTTCACGTGCCGCGACGCATATACATTGTGGGTGAGTTCACGCACACAATGTGTGTTGACGGTCGGCGGGGGACCGAGCGCAGGCCATATCCTCGAACGTTCTCCTCTCTCTTTGACGTGTTGTTATGCAAAATCGCCGGAAACCGCGGCGGGTAAAATTCTTTCTTACTCCCTCTTTTTTTTTTTTTCTAATAGCGTCCGGGTGCGCGATAGGTGTTACCAATATGCGGTTGAGTTGAAAATGTTGTTTGGACCGTCTATACTACTACGTCACTACTATTATACGTTTAGGGGTCAACCGCGATAACCACCCAAGTGTATAGACGATGAAGATGGATGGACGATGAACGTCTGTGGTGTGTAAAGCGAGTGGGAATAGCTGCTCTATCGTAGCTCCCGTGCAGCCGTGTTACTCGATGAATGCGATATTATGTCGTAATGTATGTGAAAAGACCGAGTTTTTAAAAGCCCTTCGATTCGCTGTCGCACCCTTTTAACGTAACATATTTTATATACATACGAGTTGACGGACAATGGATTGAAAAGGGAACGGCAAAATTATACGTACACAAACGCACAACGTATTATACGTAAGTAGAAAACTGATATTGCACAAAATAATAGCGAAAGCAGGTCATCGAGAGTGAGAGAACTATTAAATAACATTGTAATATTCGCTGTAATCAACATAAGTCTCATATCGTCCTTGTATTTACATTAATTCCTTTGCAAATTTAATTTAATTTCTTGACGTTAATTTATGCACTAATTTATCAACATAATAGTACAATTCCTTAAAATGCAATTGTTTGCATTCGTTTTTCGTTTATTTAATGCTTAATTTGTAGACAGTAAAAATTGGAAGAGTAAATATTTTTAATTATATTTCATTTTCAAACAAAATTTACATAAAGAAAGATTGCATTTTTCTACATTAAAATCAATTTGAATAGATATATTTGTTTATAACAGTCCGTTATAGTAAATCTGTCATAAAAGGGCTTTAAGTAAAGTTCAAATTTTAAAATAATTTAATGTTGATGAATAGTTGTACAAAATCGTTAATATAAAAGAAAAATTCGTTAAACTATCAATTTATAAAACCGTGTTTAAATGTATTTACTTTAATTGAATAGTGAATACTTAAATATATGTATATAATACATTTTAAACTTATAAGGATATATTACATAGTAGAGGTGGTTAACATAAATATGTGTACGAGCCACACGGATAAATACAATGATATCAAGAGCCAAAATGTTTATAAATACATTTTATAATTTTTATTATTTGATCTAAGTAATCATTATTTTTTTCCCGTATATTTATCAGAATTCTATAAAATAAAATATATTTTTTTTTAATAATGTATGAAAAAATAATAATAATAATAATAATCAGTAAATTTTGGTTTTTGCTAATAAGACGTGAGTCGAATACGGCTATGACTCGAGCCACAAGTTAGCCATTCCTGCTAACATATATAGATTGCACCTCTATTTTTGGTCTCGCATAGTTCCAATTTTCATTTTTATACGAACATAATGTTTTTTAACAGTTGATTTTGGATATACTTGAAATATATTCAATAATTATTGTTTTGAAATAATATTATTACTATTTTATACATTTCCTATATAAAAAACATAATAATCCTGATTATTAAAAACCAAATTATGTTGAAACTATTCTTAATGTTCAACAAATACATTAACTATTCAAATTAAATTCAGAAAACGTGGTTCGTTTTAAAATATGTTTTAGTTTTTTTTATTTGACTCTAGTTTTACATGGCTCAATAACTTTATCTGCCTTCTAAATATTAAATACTCTACTATTTTTACCAACTATGTCCACAAATGTATGGACAATAAAGAACAATTTCATTTTGATTTTTAGTAAGTAGGAAATATTTTTTTTTTAAGACAAAAGCTGTAGGTTCTTTAACCACCCGTTTAAATACGTATCATATATACAATTGCATAAATGCACTAATAACAGTATCATGGTAGTAAGGTGATGAAATACGCGTTATATCAGTACGTTCATGTACGTGTTTGTATGTGGGAGATTAGAATACACAGAATATATTTTTATTGAGTGTACGAAAAATGAGAAACCGGTAATAATAATAATAATAATAATAATAATAATAATAATAATAATAATA